GTGAAAGACGTGTTGGAGAAAATTCCTTTTCTTAAACTAGAAAATGAGGTAATAATTAAATATCCAAATCAATTATGTAACATGTCAATAATGATTGAGACAAATAATTCCATAAAAAGGAATGTAAGTGGCCTATAGTTATTGAGAATATAATGCTAGGGGATTACACTTTTCCCGTCTACTATTAAAGCTTTGTTTTACTTAAAAAGAAGCAGAACTGGCATTATTCATGAAGGAAATGCTTTTTCAGAACTCTTGTATTCTTCCTCATGGAAATACCAGTACCATTTTAAAATTACAATATGGTGAATTATTTCATGGAGAGAATTAAAAAAATATATATAAAAAGCCAATTTTTTTTTTTTAAGGTAGAGATTTATTTTATACTAGAAAAACTGTAACATATCCAGTGAATAGATGATGCATTATATTTGTCCTCTAATCATTAGTTGTAATAACAGACATAATAGAGACGTAAATGTTGTCTCTATTTTGTCAACGTTGTATGCAATTGTTTCATTTTGAAAGGCCACTTATTAATCTCAGATTAAAGTGTAATGCAGTGTAATGAGTATGTAGGCCAAGTAATCCATTCTTAATTCCCAACCACTAACCAGTACATATTTACTACTAATTGTTGAATGTTGAACTTGTGTAGTGTTAAGGTGCTGATGTGAACCTGCTAAAGTGCTGATGTGAGCCTGCATAAGATGCTGATGTGAACCTCCAAAGGTTCTGATGTGAACCTCCTAAGCAATGATGTGAACCTCCAAAGGTTCTGATGTGAACCTGCAAAGGTTCTAATGTGAACCTCCTAAGCACTGATGTGAACCTGCTAAGGTGCTTATGTGAACCTGTTGAGGCGCTGATGTGAACCTTCCAAGGTGCAGATTTTAACCTGCTAAGGTCCTCATGTGAATCTGCTGAGGTGCTGATTTCAACCTGTAAGGTGCTCGTTTGAACCTGCTAAGGTGCTGAGTTGAACCTCCTAGATGCTTATTTGAACCTTATAAGGTGCTCATGTAAACCCCAAGGTACGAAAATGCACCTTTAGTGTGCTAAAATGAACCCCAATAAGGAACTTTTCTGACCACAGTTTGCACCTTCTGTCAATCATGTCATAATTAAAGGGTACAATTTTGAACCCCAAAGGAGCATTACTGTACCATATAATGGGGTGCAAGGTTGCACCTTTATTTAGAGGTACAATTGTGCACCTTAAAAGGTGGCTGTGGTGTTGCATCGTTTTGTACCTTTTTAAGTAGGTATTTGCACCTTTTTTTTTAACAGTGCAGGACACCCCTACGATAGTGTTGTCTCGATCAGCCCCACTTTCGGCTGCCAACGCCCACTTTTTGGACATCTCTGGATCCGCCCCAGAAAACGACAGTGTAAAAACAAACAACGTGCACGTGTGCGTTTGTAGGAGCATTTTATATCTCCCCTTCGTAGGAAACTTGTTTGTGATACATGCGCGTATTCCTGGACTGTTTTGATTGGTCAGTTGTCTATTTATTTTAACAAAAGTGGCAAATATTCAACCACTTGCCATCTTTAGTTCTCATGGCATCAGGCGCGACTGAAGAACTTTAAACTTTAAAGATGTATTGTCCCATGCTAAATGCCAAAAAAAAAAAAAAAAAAAAATTATGTTTTTGTAACTTAAAGGTTATTAACTTGAACATAGAAATTAGTGTATTTAAAAAATGTCTACCCAATCAGTTTACAGCAAAAAATCATTCAAACGCTTCCAGTCACTGGAAATGTTTATTATTTTTATTATAATTTTTTGGTTTAAAAAATCAGGGTACACATTTTTTAAATTCAATAATTTTATGCACAAGTTTATATTTTGTATGATTGCAATATGAGCAAGTTTATTTCAAAATTATTTTTTTGATTTTATGACATTAGCAAGGGACAATACATCTTTAACTTTGTTTACGTGACATGAAAGTCAAACATGGGGTCTGAAAATTGGTAGAAATTTTAACGGACATTCAACAGAAAAGAACATCGAAATGAGTGCATACTATTGTCTAATATTTTCATATTAATTTCGTGTAGGTAAATAAGGTTCTTTACAGGCATGTTGCGCTATTTATATTGGTGATTTTTGTATTAATTTTTGTACCCCATTGATTGAAGTAGCCGGCGAAACATCGTAGTAGCCGATCGATTTCGCCGGCCGCAATTCACGATGCCAAATTTGCAAACTCCTCATCACCGACAACACTATTAACATTCACCATTCTAACATAGCTATACACTTACCACCTCTCACTTGCAATGCTTCTAATGTCATCTACCAAAATCAGGCCCGTAGCCCGGTTCTTCCAAAGGGGGGGGGGGGTTTCTGGGCGTGAGGTTCAAGGTCGCGGCCCTGGTGGTGTCTGCGAGACATCCAGAGCAAGAGGATTTTTGTGCTTTATGGGACTAAACAATGCCATAGAAGCAGATATGTTTAAAAACGTCTGTGTCTGGGTGGGTCTGCAGTGCATTAGTTGGATTGGAGGACTTATTTGGAAAATTTGAAGAGGGGTTCGCCAAAAAAGAGGGGGTTTGCTAGAAAAGGGGGGTTCTCCCGAACCATAACCCCGGGCCCCCTGGATACGGGCCTGTAAATGGTCTACCCAGTGTAAGGATAGTATATACATTAGTGAAACCAGTTGCAAATTCTGCCATAAAATAAAATCCGCCTTTGATTTCGTATCATTAACGATCTATCGTAGTCACTGCTGTAAATGGGCTTATTCGACTGATTCATTTCGTTAAGTACGAATTTTCTTTGAGTATTATTTTCATTCGACTGGTTCGTTAAATAGACTTCGTTGACAACGAAAATTAGCGTAAAACAGAGTGCGTTAATCAGTGTTACCAAAAAAAAAAACAAAAAAACAAAAAAAAAAAACCCTGGCCCACTGGTGAGGTGAGCGTGGTTGAGCGAAGAACGACCAGTCGAATACGGCCATTGTTCATTCTTGTTTGCTAGACTCAAAGGCTTTTTTAATCATACATGTTATCGCTGAGGAAGAGCACAGGAGTGCTCGAAATATTCTAAAGAAAAACTTATTTTATGTCTATTATGTCAACTTATGCGTTTCTACTTTGTGCATTGGCACTCATTTTATATATCAAGACATTGACTAAGATCAGTGTGATACACCCTCTTTATAAACATTGATGACAAGACAAGATTTCTAATGAGAAAAATAACACTGTAGAATCTGTCTCTTATACACATCTAGATGTGTATAAGAGACAGCTGTGGCCCTTCGTCCTATTTTTATGCCCATCCTTGCAATACACTTCTTTTAGAACACCAAACGTGAATAAAATGCGAGGAAAAGAGTTACAATTTAATACATTTATTACAATATAAAATGAAAGTTATTCTACAATATTCATTGGATGTTGCCTGTTTGGTTTTTAAAATAAAATTACATGTAAATTTTATCTAATTACCATTACATTGTATCTAATTGCAATAGCAACCCAATTATAAATTATATTTTCTAAACCAGTTATGTTTAATACTAATTCTGTCTTTTTATGAATAGCACTTTCAGCGACGCAGCACTGGTTTCACAAGTGGATTAAATAAACAAAAAAATGAAAGAAATGTAAATCGGAATGAAAAAAACTAAATTAATTTGGATAAGGCAAGAAAACATAACTTTCAGTGGAAATGATAAAACATGACAGCATTGGTTTTAAGTTTTTAAAGGTTGAATAATCATTACAATTTATTATAAATTACCGTACATCTAGGCCTAATCTTATTTTGATTTGTAATGTGTAATTTCACTGTTCCCTGGTTCTTTCTATGCATTATCATGCGGGGGCCCTGCGGACCGCCTCATGATTGCATAGGCGTTACACCATGTGTCTAATAGGCCTATCTTCTTCTGATGAGTCTTGATGAAGACCACCAACGAATATCTGATGACGTGAAAATTCAAATGACGTGAAAATTCAAATGACCTGAGTTGTCTGCAAGCTCTGGCGACCAATGAACAAATTCAGGATGTAAGGCTTCCCGGCGTTTTAGCGGCACTTCTTGTTTAAAGCACTATCATGGCACCCATGCGCTCATTTGGGTGTCAGGAATCCTGATTTACAGATTTAACAAATATTAATTAAAGAGAGGCAATAAGCACGAATATTTCAATCACTCTGTAAAAATACCCAGTCTTACGTATTTTGACAACGATGGTCATTTTAGATTCTCTCAAACTACCCAGGACTTTACTCTAGAAAGAACACCATGAAGCACTGAACCACACAGGCCCTAATTCTTCTTCTCACGTTGCCAAAGTTGGTGTTTTTGATTCATTCTCAAGTGGCTCCCGACTTATATATTGTAGGCTTACAAATATTTAATTGAATTAAGTTGCAAGGCCATTGTAATGCTTAATTGAAGTTTTTAAAAAAAATTTATTTTAAACCGCGACAACCTTTCTTTGAATGTGAACATACAATTGTGCTAGGTTGAAATCCAACGAACTGTGAATGAAGACAGCCTAGTTTATAAAATCTTGCTCTATGTATGCGCTTGCTAAACTACCGGAACGTGTTCTCCACAAATTGCTCTCATGGTCAATACTAATAGTTAATCATGATCAAGGCGTGGACTATTTAATAAAATCATGCTTCCAAGTAGATCATGTCTCCATTGATTTTTATGACATATCCTAACACATGTGGGAATATATAGTAGGTTTATGAAGAAAGCTTTTCTCACTTCTTCAAGTTATGGACAACAAATTGACAACCGCATGCCTAATATATTAAGGATTAAGTCACATTAGATAATTTCTTTGATTAGCTACTAAACATGTAGGTTTTTAGTTGTGATCTAAAAAAGTGGAATAATGAAAGCTTTAATAAAAATATGAATAATGTAGCCACAGTGGATCGCCAAGGACATAAATCTGTAAAGTCCTTGTTTCTGTCTATCTGTAGATATTATCTGCATGAATTCGATATTACATATAATAATAATACATAGCTCTATGGCATCTGCATATCGAAGAACGCCCTCAATGTCACCTAAACAAAAAATGTCAACTTCACAACCGAAACATCACCATGAAAGAAGTAAAGTTGCAATCGATCGTCCTAAGTACAGAGAAGGGAATCGTGATCGGGCTGTCAAAGTACATTTTACTTAGTTAATTATCTTGTATAGTTTATCATCTTATGAAGTTAAAACATTTAATTTCTAAAGGGTGTTGATCTTAGGCTAGGCCTTATAGTTGGTACGCTCTCCTCCTCCGACCGCAAAGGTGCAGAGAGTCCCCCTTGCCTTGGCATATTTGGTACTAGGGCCTAGGCTACCACTATAAGGCCTACTACAGTATTTGTAGATGGGCCTCTGTATTGGTTTTAAACTTGGCAGAATGCAAGGTCGTAATAAGAAGAGAGATCCTGTTGTTTTTTGTACATGTGTGAATATGCTAATAAGTCTGATTGGTTTCAAACTCCTACTTTTCATTCACACCGCAAGGACTAAGGAGGCTATGTTTTTACTGTACAGCATAAAAGGAGCAGTTGTAGTCCTTTTTAATAATATTCTTGTTAAAAAGCTTCTTACTTATTTCATTGCTGAAATTTATATACAAATACAAGATCATTACAATACAAGTGGACAACCTCCTTATAAAAATGTCTTACAATCTGCAATAAAAAAAAATATTTTAAATATTTAAATGTAATGAAATGTACTCATGTTATTTCCATTTTATTGGACCGAATAAATTAAATCTGAATTTGGAATTCAACCAATCTAATATTTTCTGGTTCATTCTTCTTAATATTTTTCTCATTAAATTAACATATTTATTATTGTAGAAACTTATATTCAAATCCGAGATCATTACAATGCCAATGGAGTGCTCCCTTATAAAAATTTCTTATATTCTGCAATGAATTTAAACAATCTAGGAATTAAAAGACCTTATACGCATACTGACTACACTATTTTTTCTAAATACAGTATTGCTGTTTTTCAGCATAGCCCCTTGACCTGTGCTAGGCTAGGGAATTGAGTTCCAGTAATTATAACCAGAGTTTTTTGATATGCCAACTTTGCTTATGGCTTTAATACTTAGTACTGGTATTTCTAGCTTACTTGGCTTAAGTTACAGTATGTAAAATGAAAGAAGTTTGCTTTTTTTCAAACACTAATCATTCAGTAATCTTCAGCATCTATTAGACAGTAGACTGAGCCTAGACTACAGCCCAAGGAAAGGCAGATTAATAATTTACATATCTACTTGAATAGCATAAGGTGAGACCTTGGTTAGTGAACCCGCCACCTGCCAATAATGATTTCGAATAAAAATAAGACTCTATGTTTGGCCAGTTAGCACCCCCCCCCCCCATTTGAAGATCCCGGATATGCCACTAAATATGCTTTCAATGTTGATACTTCTTTTTCAGGTGTTTACTATTAACCAAGAGTCGGTGTATATTTTGATACATGGTGTACCAGATATAAATATCACCAGAGAACTATTGGAACTGTGTTCTCTGTATGGGTCAATTGATGAATATCGTATCCTTGATGACTACCCGACTGAGCCATTCACCAAAGTCTACTGGATAAAGTACCAAGAGCTACAAGCAGCAAGGTATGACTGTTCATTTCTGGCATAATGTTTAAATGGATCCGAAAACCTTTATAAATGCAATTAAAACACTGTATTCTTTATTCAATGAGAGACAGCGATTTGATAATTCGTAAGGACACAGCCTCTTGGAAGACCAATCCTTGTAAAAAGACTGAAATGAGTCACCATGAATAAATGAAACTGTTATTATCATTATAATGATAATGCTTCAATACAATAAAATTTTCATCAATTTAAAGTATGTAGATACTGTAGTATTTTCAAATATCAAAACATTTTTCTATCCATTATTAATTCAATAAAACATGCTGAGAATGTAAACATTCTGAGCTTGTCGTCATGTAATAAAAACTTATTTAAATTTAGACATTCTCATTGGTCAATAAAATATGTGCACAATCATGACATCCTAACTACTTTAACCTTGACTTTATAACATACCAGATTATACAGTATTTATGTTTTCAATCTAAGAATGATGACTTAAAATGATATTAATCACAAGTTTCTTGTAGAATGATAGATGAATCGACTGCTCTCTTGGGCTTATTTTTTATTAAGGTACTTCCTATCAAATTTGGTCAATATCCAATAAAAAATTGTAACTAGTGTAAATTTCCTTAATTTACTGTAAGTTGTGTAATGAAAAATAAATCATATTCACAAATATAGAACATGTTTTATTCCTACATAAATATGACCTATTTTTTTAAATTTCACTTTCTTTTAATCGTAGATTCGCAAAACGTAAAATTGATGATCGCTCGTTCTATGGTGGTATGCTTCATGTCTGCTATGCGCCAGAATATGAAACAGTTTCTGATACAAGGTTAAAATTAAAAGAACGAAGAAAAGCGGTTGCAAGAAGACTTCGTCAAATCGAAAAAGGTAGATTGGTTGACCTCGTGATTGTGAGAAAGAAAAACATTATTTGTGTATTAAATGTAAAATTTAATATCTTTATTTTACAGATAATTACACAGAAAAGGCAAATCAACTTAAGGACAAGATAAGTGCTGCTGCATGTAGTACGTCTTCAGACCCAGAACATAGTGAGAAAAATAACACTGTAGAATATGAAGTGAACTCTGATGGCAAATTTAGTATAGAATCAAAACAAAATGTTGAAGGCTCTGGTTTTCCAGCTTTGCCGGATCCACCCAGACAGTTGCCATTTGAAAAGTGGAAACATAGTTCTGGTTCGGATGATTCTATCCCTAAAGTACCAAGTGCACATTCCACACTACCTCATAACTTTAATCCCTACCCTGTTGGATACAGGCCTCCTTGTCCGCCTCAAAAGCGCATTCAAGGGCCTAGGCTTCCAGAACAGAATCAATCCATGTCCTGGCAGTATGAACAATCAAAGCATATGAGGCCAGACTTGCATCTTCAATCTATTGGCAATGCTGGTGTGCACAGTCAAGCCCTAAGGTTGAACACATCTGATGTTACAAGACAAAACAGTAAATTAAGGACGGAAAGTCTTGTACCTAGACAAGTGCAAGAATCGAGGAAACGTACATCAGCCCAAGCCAATTTATCTAACACCCCAAATGAACAAGGAAAAAGACTTCATTCGGAGCAGGCGACAGCACCAACGAGGACGGGAATCACTTTTTATAGGCAGAACAAGACAGTTGCAGACAGACGGCCATCGTTGTCAAGTGAGTTGTCGGATAAAAGCAGCTCTTTTGATAAAACAGTTACAAGTATCAGAAATAAAATGAAAATGGTAAGATTTCACATTCAATGGATTGTGTCGTAGACAGTCACAGGGCTACAATGCCCACCAGGGTTTGGCAAATCAAACCAGATGCTCTAATGATGTTGTCTCTTGCACAGTGACTTTCAATTTTGCAATGGATTCGGAATGTTTTTTTTTATCTAATTTACTTGTAATATTTTTAATTGCTCATTATCTAATGCTGATTTTCTCATTTATCTTAACAAAATGAAATTTGTTTCTCGTGGTTATTGTATATATATTTTTCCAACAAAAGTTGCCTAATTGCTGCACCACTTGCTTCCCATCAAACCCCCATGTACTCTTAGTGCTACAAGGGGGTTTTAAGCCCCCCTCCCACTGTATGTACTAATACTGTGTAACATACAGTATATATTTTTTTTTTACTATCACAGGTTTCTCAAGCACCACACATTGAATCTCCGGCATCAACATCATCTGATTCAGAGAGAATACGCATTTGACACAGAATCATCAGTACATTATTTAATATAATAATGGAATAGTCAGCTACTAAAAAAACATTGTATTCAACTTTTTAAAAGAACACTAATTAATTAAATGTTAGGTAAATTATTTGCAAATGCATTTTGGGTAATCAAATCAAGTTATTGCATTTAGATTTAGAACCCGAGCTGTCTCTCATCCAGCAAGGTATTTTAGCATTAAAATCCTGAAAATCGTGTAATCTCACTGGCGGTTATTCACTTAACGACATTCTTTTAATGGCAAAGGTGGAAATGTTAGATAAAACTATTTGATTTTCTTCATTTTTTGTTGACCATCTGATCTACACATGATTAGTTTATTGAACTACTTCCAAGACAAACATTTTTTTTTTATACAGTATTGGTATTCACCATTGTCATGATATACTGAAATGAAAATTTCTTGCCTAATCATTGAAACCAGACACTTAAAATAATAAAAATTGATGATTTTACAGTAATACACTATCAAATATGTGAAAATGTTGTGTCCATATATGGGCATGATGTTATATTACATTCTTTCACATACAATTTGATAGTAACTCCCAAAATAATTTTTGGAAGGGAGTGCATCCCCACGCACCCCCTAGTTACACCACTGCATGTCACTTATTTTTACCAATATTCTGGACAGGGCCTTGGACCATTTGATGTCAAATACAGATATTCATATCTTCCACAGAAACAAATCAAAGAAAATAAATGAGTTGCAAAAATAAGGAATGTTTTTATATAATATCCAAAATAAAGGCATGCAAATGGTTTTCAAGACTAGATTTATGAACATATAAAACACAGAAAGTTTTTATATATATATTTAACAAAAATTGAGATTGCATATTGTTCCTATATGTATTTTGTCAAATACTTTTATCCTATGAAGAGCACCATGAAATGAAATTGGAGAGCAATGAGGTGGAGAAACACAATAGAAGTTAAAATACAATAAAGTACTGTCTTGCCTTGAATAACTTGTATTAGTTACTGTCTGAGTTGAGTAAATAAACATTAAAATTTGAATTGTATGCAGGTCTTCAGCCGCTTTGGTCTCCCATTAAAATTATTGTTGCAATAATTAAGACATTTGTTAATTTGGGATCACAGAAAAGTGGTCTTTATTTAGATGGAGACTGTATTAAGTACAACATTAGCTTTCAATTATTGGTTAAAATAAGAAATTACTTTCCTTCCTAATTAAACAGAAGTACATAGACCCTTTACGTCAGTGGTCCGCAGCTGGTCTGCTAGACTTTTTATAAGACTGATTTTTCATGATTCCGTAGTTTTCCTCATCTTGCAACAGTGTAATAAACGTCTTACTGCTAAGGTGTCATATAAAGAAATAGCTTTTGTGGATAATCTTATCCTGGATTGGATTGGATTTATTCGGTGTAAAAACACAAAGGATAGCCTATGAAAGTCTAGAAGAAAACTTATTTCCAGTGGGTCCTTCTGGTGGTGATTGGGCAGTACACCAGAAGACAGTACAGTACTGTGTTCTTTAACATGCACATGGGCCATAAATTCACACGGGACCAACGGCTTAAACGTCTCATCTGAAAGACGGTGCGCTATTGTAACTTGTATTTCAGCCCTCCAGCTGAAACACAAGGAGAGGCAGCAATGGGAATTGAACCGGGGACCTAGAGATCTCCACAGTTCAGCGCACACAAAGTGACTACCACCAGATTAGCCGACTGAGCTAAGCTGCTCTAACTATTGGTGAAATATCGATTGGTGGTAGAAAAAGTCTTCTCAGATAAGGATGTAAACCATAGGCCCAGTATGCACTTGAAACAACCTAGTACAGTACATTATTCCAGAGAGATAGGTAGGATATGCTGGTGTACAGGTTCAGATGGCCCCCGTAATTGCTGGTACCGGTTTTTAAGCTAATAGTCCACACTTAGGCTATGTTCTCACACGGCTGCTAACGGTTAGCAGGAGTGCGTCCATACGAGAAAATTTCCGATCCCAATACCAAAAATATGATCGAATCACTGGCCAATAAGAAACTGGAAATTGTAAATGCGTACATATGATTGGTTGATGATAAAACGCGCTCAACTTGATAACCGATAGCGCTTGCTAACTGTTAGCAGTATCCGGATACCGCTAATGGTTAGTGCTAACTGATCAGGCGTTATTTGATAGAAACCAGGGGTATATAAAAAGTAATGGCTCCAGAATAGAGTCGAGGTCACAAAATAAAAATCACTGGGGTCACATGAAAATTTTTTATGGCTTATTATTGCCCAAATTGTGCCTTTAGAACACAATAGTAGGAACTGGCATTCAAAATAACATTATTTGGATAACAAAAATTATTATTTTTGGTCCGATGGGGGTCCAGACCTGTCCTCCCTGACCCATGGTGGTGCCACAAATGTATATAAATATACACTATTATCATTTTCCAACATTTTACCAGAGACAGTATATCTAAAAAATTATGCCAATCTTAATTTGACAAAACTTTCATTGTTTTCAAACTGGGCTATTTATAAACATAGTTCCAGCAGAATTATAAAGGTCTATCAACAATAGGGCTAAGCCCTTGATAAACACATACTACTGTAATTGTTTCTGGTCTGAAAGTATACATCACAACAATGTTTGCCAATACGATTCCATGGAGTATGCAACACATCAAAGTGTGCACAACAAATCGTTTTTGATGACAATCCGTTTGGTATGCCATTGATATTCGTATGTCGTTAAACGCTCCCAGGGGGCTAAGGTGGGATCGACAGTAGTACGATGCAGTTGTGCCCTGCTTTTTGTATGTGATATACAGTAAACATGTCTTTAACATCCGCTGGAGGTGTTGCGAGTTTTTGTTTTTTTATACAACCCCGAGTGACATATTAATTAGAGGTGATTCCATTGCATTTTCACAGGTAAATTCATTGCAGTACAAGCCCAACCTGAAAAAAAAAACAAAAAAAAAAAACAATTCTGTAATGGAGACATTGCGCATTTTAATGAAGTGATAAAAATATCAAACAATAAAAATCCTGTGAAAGTGCATACGCATTTTAGAAAAATAATTTATCTCAGTAATAAATAAAATAAGAGATATTTGATTTTAACATTGTTTGCATTATAAACATTTTCAATTATTATTTTTAATTTAATCATCTATAATTTAAGAATGGGAACAAGTATATCAAATTACCTTGTGAAGCACCACACCCATATTATGAGACTTGAGAAGTGGAGTTGTCTACCACATGTTATATATTATTGTAATAAAAAATTTGCAATTGGCTTACCTGCTGGGGTCTCATTTCCGGACATATCCAATTGTATAGATAATACTGAAGGTTACCATCTCCAATGCCAAACTTCAGCTCTTCAAGAAAATCTCTATTATCCATCAAATCCAGGGCATTAAAGACATCAAATCCTTGCTACAGTATATAAAGAACCAACAATATTCATTGATCTTTTCTTGTATATTATCTGTATATTGATTATTTACTTTATTGGTGTAAATTGATTATTTACTTTATTGGTGTAAAGTGCGTTACTGTGATTTTTATTAACTTTAATGTGACCATAGGCCCTACTTCTATTTTAATTAAATTGTGGTTTTCATCCAGTGTATAAGAGACAGTCATTTTACTGATAATGATTATTTCAAAAATACATACATTAAACCAAAAAGTGATCTTACTTTTTGGCTGTCTCTTATACACATCTAGATGTGTATAAGAGACAGTATATATTCTTTTTATTTATGTTTCAAGCGAGAAAGTAAAAATTCAACGAACATTTTTTGCAAGAATCATAGCATCCTGCATAAGCTGCATCATAGGTACCGTTGTACTGACATTGTAGAATGAGTATGCCGCCTTTAGTATATCATGCACTGTATGATGCATAATAGATGAGGATAAAGTGTAGTAACTTATAAAATCTGTGACCTGTTTTTTGTCCTGTGGGGGAAATAAAGAGAAAATTGAAGTAATGTTAGGCGTAACACCAGTATGAGCACTGGGTTTTAGGTAAAGGGTGAAGTAAATTAGTTTGCTAAGATCACCTTCCTGGTTAAGTATACCTACCATGTACTGCAAAATATCACCAACATTTCGTCGAAAAATGACTTAATCTTGAGAAGAAGCCCATCTCGAATTGAAGCCCCTCTTTAGTTTGCAAAATTAGCCTCAAAAAGCAGCCCATGGGCTTCTTTTCAAGATAGTACAGTACTTACACTGTATATTAATTTAAAGAAAAAACTAAATAAATTAAAAACACTTGATTTATATAGTACTTTAGGTGATTTAATGTTCGTTAATATAATCTATGATACAGAAAGATGTTACAGTGGCCTTATTTTTTGTTTTATAGTACAAATTCCCAAAATTTTACAGCATTCATTTTGAAAAGAAGGCCCCCCCCCCTTCTTTACTATGCAAAATTAGCCTCGAAAAGAAGCCCATCCAAAGTTCGCAAAAAAAAAAAGAGCCCATTGCTTCAATTTGAGGTTTTACAGTAATTAGTCTAGGCCTCTGCATATATACATAGGTCCCAGTGACTGAGAAAGTAAACATTAAATGTCAGTGAAAAGACTTACCCCTTCAACAACATAAGTGTTTATAATTCCTTCTCGAGGAGTGAACCAATGCTGAAATTCTTCCTAAAAATAGACAAATAAGGCTGTCATCATATCTACATTTTATCAAATTCCACATGAAAAAAACTTTCTGAATAATCCATAAAACCACAGGTGGGCAAAGAGCGGCCTGCAGGCCACATGTGGCCCAATGGTGATAATTTTGCGGCCCATAAAAATAAAATAAATATCCAATGAGTGCCGCCTGTCAACCATCTTTGGCTAGAAAGCTCCATGTTTTTTATGGCCCGATACCAATCAGTTGTTAAAAGTAATATTAGAACTGAGCACAAAGTGGTATAAAAACAGTTTTTTGAAAGCACACTGCAAATCAAGTTTGGGTGCAGCCCTCAGTGTTACATGGAAAGTTCACTTTGACCCTCCAACCCATTTTTATAGCCACCCCTGATTAAAACAGTTATAATAAATTTTCTACAAAATTATTATTTGTGAAAAAAAAACCATAATAAACATAGTATGTTAAAATAGATTATAAAATTGGTAAACTCATAGCTGTAAGGTATATTGTCTGAGGTAAAATCTGAAATCTGACTGCTCACTTGAATTAATCAAATATTATTTAGTTTCAACGCAACAAAGACCAAAAGAATTCAGCACTTGCAGTTTTACAGACAATGCAGGGGACCCAAGTTTGAAGAAGTCGCGTCCCGGAGATTTGGTTAATTGAGTTTTCTTAACACACCTAAATGTATTTTGCTGTGCATGGCGATACTAATCGGCATTGTTTGCTATGAAACATTCAATAATAAATTAGTATACACATTATTACTATTATAATTATTATTTTATCACTTGTATGGTGCCTTTTCTTTGCAGATACACAAGTGCTTCTTTTTCCAGGTCATTGAGTACACATACTTTAAGTGTGGCTGCTGGTAAACAGCGCAGGAGTAGGCAGCCCTACTAGGTACCAATTTACAATCCTGGGTGGAGAGAAGCAATGCAGTGCCTTGCTCAAAAACACAAGCAAAATGTACAGCGAGGGATTGAAACCCCGACCTCGAGGTTGGGAAACCAAACCATTCCCGCTGCGCCAAACCGCTATGAATATGAATATGTGATATATGGGTTATTTTCCAGGCGATTCTTGCTTGCTTCGCAATAAATAGAAACTGTAAAAGTTCCGTAAAACACAAGGGCTGGCGAGCTGCTTCACACGAACACATCCGTCTATTGGAAAACAGCATTTACTCAATATGAAGTAAGCTTTTAAAATACTAAATTTTACACTTCAAGCTTAAATTAACTCAACACGAGCATTATTTCCTTAAGATTATTAAATACCTCAGTGAAGGAAGGGTAAAGATCAAACTTTTTCATATAATCCGTGAAGACTTTGAGACAATCAGCCGCATCTTTTGGTTCGTAAACCCTCAGACCAGGCGTCTTCGTTTGCTGCAATGAAAACACCCAAGAAATACAATTCAGCAATGAAAAATTTTTTAATTTCAATGAAAATGCTTTTTGAATTCCTAAATTGTTAAAGTTTTCACACCCAGGACTCCCCACACCCCTTTCAGTGCTTTTGGGCAGACTCGGTGAAACGCACAATGCATCCTGCACACTATACCCCAACAGTGGTTGTCTGAAAAAGCCAAAAAACCTAAAATGTGAAAAAAAAATCAATTTCTCCTTTCTACAATTTCTTCCAGGGGCACAGTACTTCTGAACACTGGCCACACACTGCATCTTATGTTCTTGGATAGTAATACTAACACTTGATAGTGTAAAAAAACTGTGTACATTCTATTAAATTTTCTTTGACAAAAAAAACTGTTGTATGCCCTGAGGCATGTCGTGGCGAAATGGTTAAGTTGTCGCACAGTCCAGCATTGAGTAAATGAGCTATAAAATATGGGAGCTCAAAAAATTGCCTAAAAATCCAAATTTGTTTTTCACTATAGATCAACAGTTTATTAAATGTCTTATTAATCATGTCCCAAAGTATTAGTTCTGGAAGTGGTCAACAAATTGTTTATTTAACGTTATTTTTATATTTTATTCTATTAAACAATGTATGCACAAATAACTTTGAAAGGCAATTACTCAAAATCATGTTTATCTTGACTCTAATAGTACTGTACTTTCACTTTCCAATAACTTAGGCTTGAAATGTCCAATTTGAATAAATGACCCCCTCATTTTAAAGATCACATACTCAGGTATCCGAAAATAACAATAACTTTAATTTCAATTTTTGCTACAACTTTGCCATTTTGCCACAACATGCCTCGTAAAGCCATAATGTGCCTATATATGACACATCATGCCTGTAATTAGGCAGGTCAGTCTGGAGAGGTCAAGGTAGGCAATAGCAGTATATTCATAAAATTACAGGATCGAACTACATTTCATTATGAGGATTTACAGGACTTGAATCTAGAATCTTGAATGGCTAGGCAAGCATCGTAGCCACCTAAGCACCACATATAAATATAAGCACTAATTCTTACATTTGGAAGTTTGTAGAGCTTAATGGTTCGAGACATTGTCATGTTACGGCCGATGTGTGAGAATTTCACATCTACTAACTTCTTCGGATTCAGTGATCGATGCCAATACCTACAACCAGGATGAAAAATTGAAAAATTTAATGATTGAGAAAAAAATCTGTTATTTAAAGTAAGATCACTTTTTGGTTTAATGTATGTATTTTTGAAATAATCATTATCAGTAAAATGAGGTATTAATATTTTAATGGTTTACCTTAATGGGAATAAAATTCAAAATAAAAATCTATCGTACTCTTCATACATCCAACCATAAGTATTTATGCAAATGGATAAGATTTAAAAGAAAACAAAAACATGCTTGGAGAGGGCAGGATAAAAAAGAACAACAAAATTAACACAAAAAAATACAGTTGATACAGAGGTAGAAATAAGTACAAGGCATAATGAAATGATTAAAAAAAATATATGTAAACATTATGTTTTCGCAGACTATTCAATCATTTAATTAATCATTGTGATTGTAGTAAAAAAAATTAGAATTACATGTTTGCAATACAGAACAGGAAGGACACATGTAATCAGTTGTATGATAATTTCCTTTCATACGGTGACACCCTGGGTCAAAGGTTGTCAACAGACATGATTCCATGTAGAACACAACGTGCCATAGACAATCAGAAGACAGTAGTACGCACATGTGTGCCCGGCCTCAGGCTTTATTTTCCTAAAATCCAAGATAAGTTCTTGGAAAAATTAGTTTTAAAACTGTTACCTACCTGCATGTAGCAACTGGTTTAGGAAGTACGATACCAGCTGTAAAGACTGCCTGAAATATGTTCTCAACGTTGACCCTCCTTGTGATCTCACGAATCAGCACCGGCGCTACCCGCTTATTGCGCAACTTTTTATGCACGCACAGGAAATTGATCTCTACCATAGTTTTATGGCTAAAGATTAATGGAAAAGTAAAGTCATGGATTTTTAACATTTAATATAAAATTTGTCTCAACTGGGACTCAGACACAGGTCCTTTGCTTTATATATGTATGTATGATGATGCCTCAACAAATTGGACCGCTTAAAACTTCATTTGGAATTAGGGCGTTATTGGAGGCAACAGATTTAACTCTATTTGTATATGCAGTGGCGCATCCAGAAATTTGAAACAGAGGGAGCCCAGGTTGGCGGGGAAGGGGGTATGGGTGAGGAACTTTTACAGATAAAAGGTTCTATACCACGTCAGCCACCACCAAATTTGGGGCAAAGGTAAGAAAATTTACGATTATGGCACCTTTAGATGGCCGGAAATAGCATTCTCAAGATTTAAATTTGAATATAATTTTCTCTCCCCACCCCCCACTTCTATTTTTTAAGCACTTCTGACAAATTTAGGGGCCTTCAGTAGACCTAGCAATTCAAGATATCTTCTAATAAAATTTTAATGTGTTTAATAACTTGTGTGTGCATGTGAAGTGAATAACTGAGTGTTTATAACCTTTAACTTATAATGTAATATAAATAGATACTTACACATCATAAATATGAATATTAGCTGGCACAGCACTAATGAAACCAACAAGTTTGTTATTTCCAGTAACACGCACTGCACAGTGCCACTTAGACAGCCAGCCTGGGGGAGTGAGCGCCCTGTGTAAGAATGCAGGAAACAAAGAAAAAAGTACAGCATAAAAGTAACAAGGTTTAATTAATTGTGTTAATTCTTTTGACAATGTTTTGTGTCAGGAAATTGAATAGGAGTGATGTTTTGAACTACCTGATGTGTTATCCTACTGCATACCCATTACTAGCTCAAATGCTTAGGTATTCAATACGATAACATGTCTAGTAGGGCAAAACATCACTCCTAAATGTGTTCCTAAAAATTTAAACAGTTTTAAGACAAAAATTTCATTTTAATTATCACTATAATCATCATCGTTTTTGTCATTGCTGCCGGGATAATCATTATTGCTGAGGTCATTGAATAGAATGCTGATAACTTTCAGTAAACATGATTGAACTAATTAATTTACAGACAACCTACCATAAAAGAAACTCTTTAGAGTAATCGAATCGAAACATATTGTCATCATCCTCAACATAGTTGTTTGCCAGAAGGGTATAAAGTTCTTCAAGCTGAAAAATATAATGTAAACCAAATTTATATATGTATATAAATATGTTATTATAAAATATGTCTGGTCAAAGTGATTACTCGCGGTGGGTATACATAATTTTATCTGGTCTATTTTGAAACAGCACCACCAACGCCTCGTAACTTTTTGCTGGGGGACATCAAGCAGCTTAGCACTGAGCAAATTTTGTTTTTCCAGACACATATCTTCTTTTTGAGTACTGCGACAACCAAAAGCACTGCAGGTTTTATGCTCCCCTATTTTCTTTTTCATTTGTTTTCAAAGACTAGCCTAGGCCTCTACAACAGGCGTGGGCATAAAAATCGGTTAAAGGGCCAACATCAATTTTTGATATAACACCAAGGGCAACACCCACACACTGATGTTTACAGTGAGCTTCCAAAAACCTCCAAGCACTGCTTTTACACCAATTTATTCACAGTGTTAATGTTACTCTTTACATATGATTGGTGTCGGGCTGTAAAAAACAAGATGTTTTCTAGCCAATGTTGCTTGGCGGGTCACACACTTAAGGTTTTTAATTTGTTCTTGTGGGCCGCAAAATAATAGCTGTCTGGCCACACCTTTCCTACCTGTGCTCTAAAAGAAGGTTGTGCAGCAGTCACATAGCACAGATAAACACTCGTAACTATGTAGACTGAAATGCCTAGGCTTCTGGATGTAACCCAGTGGTAGTTGCCAGGTTTTCGGAAATTTTCGTTTAGAATTTAGCAAAAATGGTGTATAGGATGTACATAGAGTAGGGGTAAAGTTGCCCATAATAACTGGAAAAATTTTAGACAATAAATGTCTAAAAATTTCCAGCTACAGTATTATGATGTTCTACAATATACTTAAAATATGTTGATGGTCCAATGAGGAGCTTGGCCTGTTTATTGACACAATCATCAGGACAGGTTTGTCTATCTGTCTTTATATGAAAGGCAGCTAACAACAATAATAATAAATGTGGATCAAAAACTCTGAGCCTTAAGCTGTATTCACACAGAAGCCAAATTTGATTTGTACGGTTAACGAAATGAAAAAAGAATATTGAATCAATGGTAAAGAATAGAGGCGCTTACTAAGACGCGCATCGAAAACGTTCTACAAACCGAATTCGGATTTGGTGTGAATCTACCTTTGTGGTTGAGGATCAGTATGTCCATATGAAGCAAGAAATGAACTTGCAGTGTTAAGAGCACTGCACAGTGATTTGAGTCATTCAGTATGCAGCAAAATTTAACTTTACCTGTGCTGGATCTTCGATGTCTAAGGTGTCCCACCTGAAGCTAGGTGGTAGTGAGTACGAATCCTGACGTACAACATCTTTAGCAGGCTCAATTGCTTTGTTTACTGAAGACTCCACGGCTTGATCTAGAAAACAAGAGTTGATTTGATTATGAATATTAAAAACACAGAGTTTCTTACATAACTAGATTGCGAAAAGAATGAAGAAGGTGCATGGTGGCGGGGCCACTTGAGCTTGGCGCCGGGAGTTGACTGTTCTATTATTTTTCGAGGGGTGATCTCATGTGTGAGAAAGAATAGGCAATTTGTGGGTTTATCCAGGTAAGTATTCACAAAGTAGACTACAACACAACCTAGAGTGTGTCACAGTCTGGATGATTTTCGCAGAGACGTGAATGAAAATATATCGTCAAAATAAGTTGTGATGAGATTACCAGTATGAAATTTTAAAAAATCAAATTTATTTATTAAGCCAGATAGAAAGATGAAATTCTTGCAACAAAAAAAATCATTCGTAATAAAAATCAATTAGTCGACGGGAGAATATACTTACCAAATTTAGGAACAGGTTGCGAGTCCCAGAAATCAAAGTTCTTTTTTTTAGCTGCTTCAATTGACTTAACGGATGATGACGACCTGTTCAACAATTCCATCTGATTAGATAATTCTTGAATTTTCTTCATTGAAATTGAGCTGGCCGCCTTTGGGGGAAAAAAATGCACCAAAAGTCATAGTGTTTCTAAAAATTGAACAACAAAATGAAGATACTGACCATTATAAATATTTTGTACTTCATCAGATTTTGGTGCAATTAGTAACCAAATTTTGTCACAACAGTAATTGTAAAGGTAGGTCATTATCATACTGTGTTGTATTTATTATTCTGTTCTTGGGTAGAGGGAGACAGACATCGATAAAGTGTCTTGCCTAAGAGACATGATGTCATCATGACCATATTTATATATGTCACAAGCTTTTCTTGTCTTATAAAAGTCTGGAACTGGGCTTTAGATCCACATTTAAAGTGTTACTGCCTATTGCATAATTCACTCTAGGTCATTTCCTTTCATATTAGCAGGCAAACATGCTCTTTTTTTCACTTGCTATCTTTCTGGAATCAAAATGATGCTAAATCAAATCAAAGAAAATTTAATCCATTTAAAACATAATATTATTACAGAACATAAATTGGGAACTTGATGCTGAAATATCTCTTTAAATTGAGACCCTTAATGATAAATTTACGTATGTGGCAAAGTCAAACCAAACCAGTCACTGGTCGCAAAAATCAATTTTTAGTTATTAGTACAAGGTGAAAGAGTAAAACAAGAGCAATAAAACGTAAAAGAATCATTTTAATCTGAAGATTCATTATGAGGTTACAGGAGTTTAATCATACAGCTGTTTAAAGAACAATATTTGAGAAATCAGCCTTCAAAGTTTATGATTTCAGGCATTTCTCAGACAGAAACCGTCACCAAATCGTTAAAAATTGTTGTTTGTACATTGAAAATGGGGAAAATAACAGTATACCATGATATATAGATATATAAAGGTTAGTTTAATGAAATAAAATAGATTTCAAAAATTTTGACATTCCAGTATATTTTGGCCATTATCTCTGAAACAGGATTTGCGACGAGTGACTGGTTTGGCTTGTCTTTGCCACATATGATTATACTGTTAATAATAAGTGAAGTTGAAATAATACATTTACATAAGAATATACTGTAAAAATAATAATAATAATTATAATAATAATAATGACTGAACATTCCTTACAATGATTAAATTGAAGTCGCTGCAAACTAGAACTCATTCAAACATTTACAAGTAAATCTTTTACAGTAATTTGTAAGAAGGCATATTAACCCTTTCACTGCGTGTACCCGGTAATACCGGGTATAAACACATATTGTTGAATTGCGCGTACCCAGTACTACCGGGTATGTAGAAAAAATATTGTTAAAAATCAGGAAGAGGTTCTGCGCCCTCTATAGTTTTTTTCTATGAACTATAATTAACCTTTTATCGGAAAAAAGTGTTTTCGAGTGGTTAGGCGCAAAATGGCGGGTGCACGGCCTCAAAACAGATGGTACAATATCG